ACACACACACACACACACACACACACACACACACACACACACACACACACATCTTCAATTTCATGAGAATTACACCTCTTACTTAAGGGTAAATGTATTCCTTTCTACCTATAGAGACTGTTATTTAATGGAAGGCTATGCGTTTTGAACAAGGCTATGACTCTTCAGTTCCAATACCGTCGGAGATTGGTGATATACTCTGCTGTTTCTTGAAACGGAATTGTTAGTGAGAAAAAAACTGTAATTGCGAAAGACTTCTTCCTCAATGTTCTGCACATAATGATCGTCAAGCCTACCTTTCACTTCACTGAGAAATGTTAATAATCTAGTACTTCCATCACTTTGAGAAAACCAGGCATACCCAAAACCCAAGGAAAGCTATAGGTTTTTAAAAATCACCAGTAGTCCAGTTGACAATGCCCAGTTAACAGGAACGATATCTGGTAAGCAAGTAAATTTTTTTTTGATATATGTCATTTTCTAAGTGTATAAGTCTGCACCAGAATTTAATGACACAATGCATGTAATCAGAACAGAAATTGGTTCTTCCTTCTCCTCTTAGAACTTTTCATTTGGTTGCAGCTTTACCAAAATCTAGAAAGGCTTTCCAGAACTTTACCTGAACATTATCAATCATGTCCTATTTTTAGTACGGTACCTCAAATTTCGGAGCCATAAGCAGCTTTAGGTTCACTTTTATATAAAAAATGTTTTTTACTGTTTCGAAATTTGATTCTTTGTATGAACTGAAAAATCTTCTAGTTCGAGAAACACATCCGTTGGGCTTTACAAGCTCGATCTTCTAGCGTTCGTCTCCTGAATAGACGAGATAAAAATGAAATGCCCCAGTAATTATAAAAGGCGACTGTCTCTAAGATCTTGCCTTTCCAATACTATGTCTCAGATCTTTTGAGACAGCCTCCATTTCTAAAATCATTAAATTACTTTTCCATGTATTCACTTTTAAGCCCCATATCTGGCAGAAATCATATACATGTAGCATATCGATTTTCTTTTCTGAACCTCTGACAGTGTCGTCAAAAAGACTTACGTCATCTGCGTACATTAAACAACATAAAATACCATCATTAGGCTTAACCTGTATAGCATGAGTATTTGATTCTGAAAGGTGTTTTCGAACTGAGATATAAACAAAGAAAATACTATAAATGGCGAAGTATGCAGACCTGTTTGACATCTGGTGTACATTGGAAATACTCAGTAATATGAAATTGCTCCGATGCTCGTTAATCTGAGTAGGCGTTTTTAAGCCCCTATCACAACAATTATGAAGGATGGTTTCGACGCTGCCTTTCATGACCAACCCGGGATGGGAGCTGGGATACTACATCCCAGCAGAAAGACCGTGGTAATCGATATTTATATATATTGTACTCACGCGGGAATCGAACCCTGATCTTCTGCGTGTGACAGCATGCTAGCAAAGCGTCTAACCCTAACACCCCAGACACCTATCAGGTCAGAGTGGACAAAGAGTTTATATGAAATGCACACACACATACACACACACACACACACACACACACACAAACACACACATACATACTCACACGCACACCCACACCCAAAGACACACACACACACTC